TCGTTCACATTCTTAGCTAGGTTGCTCAAAGATATGTTTAGCAGATCATCATCAGTTACTGAATTTGGGGCTCTAAAGAGAAGCTCTAATAAAGCTTCTTCCTCCCACGCACTTCCATGTCGACTTTCTTTTCCAGAAATCATCTCGAGATGTAGAAATTGATAATAGAGGAAGGTAAAAGTGGATTGAAGTTGAAGGTCTTTAGGAAAAGGAAGTTGTTGTTTGTTATTTGATGTCGCACAGACCTAATGCACCTTCTCTCTTCGAGTCCATACATATACTTTGATTGAGGATTGTTTATATGTTCGAGGTTGACTTGATTACCTTATCTGATTCTCCCGATAAACAAAAAGGTTCGGAGAACAACCAGTTGACAACCATCTCTTAGTCAAAATATTATCTTGGGCTTTAGCTTGAGACTTTTATGTTTCATCTGAAGAACATCATACAGTAAATTGGACACATTATACCAAGAGTACAAAGAAGCAATCTACCTTATTCTTTACATGATACAGAAGCTTCAACGGCAGTCCTAGTTACAGCAATTAAAGCATATTGCAACCTTCTTCTCAGACAGACAACGTCCGGGCTATCATCTCACACACATTGAGAATACTCATCCGACCCTACAGTACTACTGGTATCTTCTTGTCACTCCTCTCTGCAGGTAAAGGTATGAAATACCATCTCAATTGCTAGCAATATCCGCTGATACCCTTCTCATTGTAGATCGTAGGCATTACAACCAATTTTACAACTACCGACCACTGACAAATACTTCCCTTTCTGCAAAACATCAATCTTAGTTCTCATCTTGGTCTATATAGGCGAGAATGAGTTCTTCTTCATCTCAAGCAGTTTTGCAACCTGACCAAATAAATGCGGTCCTACCAGTAATTCCTAGCACATTTCCGAAGTTTCAGAAGCTATCCTTAGAGTTACGCGATATGATCTGGAAATTGAACTTGCCCGGAGCCCGAATCATTGATGTAATTTACGACAAAGACCAGGACAAGTACTTATCGTTCCATTCTAAACCACCCTCTCTCTTGCACACAGTAAGTTTGATCTGTTTCATATCCTGTGTTTTGTTATCCGGAAAAGTTCTTGTCAAGATGCTTAATCCCAGTGTTTTCAATAGTCTGGACTGCAGCTCAATCTAGGATTCTAATTTTGAGGTTTCGAATATATACTCGTCAATTTCACAAACCCATTATTAAGAATGATCCAATAATCAAGTCTTTTTCATTACCTGAGATAAGCTCGATATTTAGAGGGAATGGATGTTTTGAGCTGTTTGATTGTTGGACTGCAGTCCGGACTAATGAATACCCTGCTCATTTCCTGTGGTATTATGATAGTAATGTTGCTAACAAGTCAACCCCTCAGAATAGAGAAGCCAGATCGCTTGCACAAAAAGTCTACAATTTATGCTTCCCGACACCATCCCACCCGGCGAATATTTATATGAGATATGATATCGATGTTGTCTACTTCTCCAACTGGCTTACGGGCTATAAATATGAGGAAAACGGTTGGTTCGAACATGTTGACATTGGTCCGCTTGGTAAGATGGGAGTAGGAAGACAGGATTTGAAATCGATTACAAGAGTAGCTGTCAACTCAATCTATTTTGATGTACCCGAGAGATTTTCGGCCACCAGCATGGAATATTTCTGTCACTCTACATCAAATGTTCTCGTTAGATTCACTTCCTTGAAGAGGTTATACGTGGTTGTTGAAGATATTAACCCGTATCAGAAAGGGGAAATTACATTTCACGACATTCCTGCCAATATACGCCTTCACCCTCCAAGTTTTTGCGCCTTCTGCGGTGCTCTCGCAATTGTCAGAGGATTTACAGATATGAAGTGGGATTTGACTTGTACTTGGAGAGTCCCTTCTGTTTCAGTTGTGGGAGCGGCTCGTAGGGGTAAACTATCACACATGGGTCAGTATCAACGTTGCGAGTGTAACAATTTTCCTCAAATACCAGGTGTGACTGATCAACACCCTCCATGCGAGGAGTACCACCCAAAGCCGGCTAAGGTCGCTGGTCAAGTTGATGATATCGATGCAGATGATGGTAAATCTAAGTTTGTCGAAGATGATTTGCCGGAAGAAGAATGGGGTCTCGCTGAGAATGAGCTGGATGATTTGATTTCAGACGAAGAGTCCTATTCTAAATTCGTTGCTGATTATTGTGAGGGAGAGTATGGAGTCAACCATGAGAAGTGGCTTGGCATCGACTACATGTTGAGCCGTCCTTTCTTGTGAGTTGTTATCTACCCTAGGGTTCTTGGAAACACCAAGATATCTAAGGTTGGATATGAAAAGAAGTATGCTATGTATATACCAACGTCTTCCTGACGTATATACAATGCTGCATACCGACAATTGGGTGGTTAAATCTGTTTTTGTTTTTCCTTGTTCTCTTCGCTTTGTCTTCAGGAAATGATATGGAGGGTGGGCTAATTGTAAGATGAATGGTAATCTGACAGGAGCAGAGTTTACAAGTTCTCCAATTTCAGATCAGATGTTAGGAGGATTGATGATGTAATAACGTGGCCGTTGCATTTGGATGGGATATCAGTTGTTGGGAGAGGTTTAATATTTTTCATTTGTCTTTTACAGTCATGCGACGTCAACGTAATGATAGGAGTGTCCAGATCTGTATTTTAGCTTCGTTAGGATGACCTAATGAGATAATAGAAACGTTCTATACCCGTTTTCGTTTACATCAGGTGCATTGAAATTGTCCCGGCTCTGTTTGATATGCAGACATGTGGGGAAATCGGCATGGAGTGGCTAATTTTTAGATAGATTGGTAGCGTCCCGATCTCAGAAAGCACAAGATGCTACTTGACCTTCATCATAGGCATGGACCTGGAATCAGGCGTGGTTGAGATGTGCAATTGTGCTCTAGATGAAATTTACCCACTCGTTTACCGCCAGAATGACACTTTCACATGCGAGATCGGCCTTGAAGTCTTACGGGATATGGCTACACTGTCCTGGGCACTTGTGCAACTTACCTTAGCTTTACAGGATTGTCAGTTCGGAGAATTTGTACGTTGCGAGGTATTCAAATTTCAAAATAAGATGGTATCTATATCATTTCTACAAGTCTATCCTTTTTTTTATGCCAAGACGTTGTTAGCTGCCACTTCCTTCTTTTGCTCTGCCTCAGCACTTTCTACCTTCGCTCCCTCACCCTTCCAAACCTCTTGGATAACTCCGCCAATTTGTCCCAAGAACCTCGTTACCTCATCTTCCGTCCCAACGGTTATTCTCACACAACCAAGGCAACCATGTTCCTTTCCTCTAAATCTAACCACGACTCCCCTGTTCTCCGCTAAGCTTTCATACACCTTTCTTGCAACCTCGTTGTCTGGCTGCCCATTCCCGTTCAAAATCTCCACGAGCAAGAAATTGCTCGCTACACCACCTCTGAATCGCCCTACACCCTTGACCATTGGCAATTCATTTAGTAATCTTTGTCTTTGCTCGACAATCTTCTCTTTATGTGCCGTCATGACTGACAATCCGTCTTCCTTCAAAGCCTGAGAAGCAAGAGCCTCTGTAGGTGAGCTAATGTTGTATGGTGCCTTCAAGTTGTTCAACAATGCCGCAACTTCAACACTAGCAAACGCGGCACCAAGTCTGATACCAGCTAAGCCAAATGCCTTACTCAGCGTCTGCAACACTACTAGATTTGGCCACTCGTTCACCCATTCTGCAAGCGATGATCCCTCGGGTGAGAAATCTATATATGCTTCATCGACCACTACGATACCATTCCACGTCTTGTGTAATAGTACTTGCTCAATCTGTTCTTTTGGAATTAAGGATCCAGTAGGGTTTCCAGGCGAACAAATGTAGATGAGCTTGATGGGCTTTGGTTGTGGTTTCGACAGTGTGTCAAGAATAGCTGGAACATCGAGACCAAACCCAGGAGCTGGTAGTAATGGCACTTTAACGAGTGCTACATCGTTCACTTGCGCAGATACACTATACATGCCATAAGTCGGTGGGCAGATGAGAATGGAATCGACTGAAGGTGTGCAGAAGCAGCGAAGAAGAGCATCAATTGCCTCATCGGAACCAACGCCGAGGAAGAGGTTGAGAGGGTGGAGGGGCAGATCGGTATGATGGTGGGTGTTGCGCAATTTGCATAAGAGAGATTTGAGAGGATGTTGATGAGGGTCAGGATAGCGGTTCAGCCCAAGGAAATTGAGAGATTGATTTGAAGTGACGCTTTCTGGAAGAGATGGGCCATAAGCATTCTCATTGGCGTCGAGAAGGATGTTTGTTCCATCATCTTTATAATCACTGAATGAGAATATGAGTCAGTAAACAGACATTAGAGATGAGATTGTAGAACACTGACTCTCGCGCGCAACGATATGGCTCCAATGCAAGAATGTTAGGTCGAGCACATGTCTGCAAGTTGAATGGGGAGTCTGGACGAGAAGGCATTGTGAAATGTAGTTGTTGCTTAATTGTAAAGAGTCATTAATCTTGGAGGGCTTAGAAATATATTTTGAAGCCGAGCTCGGCAGCCTTCAATGCAAGGCTGACGGCCCACTTTTGATATCGATGACCAATCGGTTCCACTTTTCACACGCCCCTCCCCTTTCTTCTCGTTTGTCTTAACTTACGGGGAAACCCCACAAGCCAAAAGCATGTATCTCTCGTGGATGGCAACGTCTGTATACTTATTCATTACCTGTTGTTTATTTTGACAAATCACGTTCTCCCAGAGACAAATACATAACTTTACGCAAAGGTTTCGAATGGAATACCTCTGATCTTCTTATTCAAGCTTCCCGACACAATCTCCTATAACTCCAATACGAAGCCCCTTCCGCCCATTCTTTGATTCATTGTCCCCAGTAACATACTTGAGCAGCTGGCGTCAAGGCTTGCTTCCGAAATGTCATTATTTCATTTTGTAAAATACGATGATTTCCTCCTGACGGTCAACGAGAATTTTTCCTCTAGATCTGAAGAGTCTTCTTGGATTTTGATAAAGTTTTCTTGAGGTCCTGAAGGAATGAAACAGAAGTCATGTGGTTCTATCTAAGTATGTTCAGGAACAATGACTACCGAGTTGCCATTTACAAACAAAAAAAAAGAAGAAAAAGAGAACTTCCTCGCCCTGAGCAGCTGTTGCCTTCAATCTGAAGCACAAATTGACATTGGCAACAGCCAGCCTTGCTAAGGGCATTTCCTGCATCTTGTTTCTTGAGTTTAGTTGCACTTATCAGTCGTGTAGCCCTATGTATCAACTCATTTCTCATTAGTAGTGGCTTGCAATATTTCTTTTTCATGTTTGTTTATTTGTTTGCACGGCTCCTCTTCATTCAGTGTTAAGCAAGATGTTTCACAACATTGAATAAATGTTGGTACAGATGCCTTCTAACAGCAGTGATGGCTCCGTAGACTTGGGTACTCAACTGAGTTCTGTTTTATTGGTTATAGCTACGTAGTACCAAAATACTCCCATAGAATAAAACGCAAGGAAATTGAAGGAATACATAGATCTGGAACGTTCCATTCGCAAGTTACACAGGAAAAGACTGTGGGTAAAGCAAAAAATTTAAGTTTGCTCTGATCTGCAGCCCATACTTCGCAATTTAGATCAGGAAAAAGAGTGAGCTTTCCAGCTAATCCACGGCCTCCACCCAGCTAGTATCCTCTACCATTGTTGGCACATTTGACAAGAACACTAGAATTGTCAGCTTGGCATTAATTCTTATTCAATTGCACTTACTTTGGGCTGACAGCTGGCCAATGTGCAGCACATACCGAGCTGGCTCCATAACTGCAGCAGCTCGAGGATCCGGAGCCACCATTGACTCTAAACGCCGAAGTCAGCAACTATTATCTTTTGCGGATCACTCAGTGCTATGAAAGAAAGACTTGAACATGTAGCTCCGATAACAAGAGGGCAAATGGAAAGAAAAACTACTCACTGATAGATGTCACCGACATGATACGTCCCGCGTACTTGGGTACAAAAACCGCAATATTTTCCAGCACTGGCTCCGCTTTGGGATGTACAACCAGTGTTATAGGAGCAAGCGCGGGCTATGAGTGTGTCGGGCCCATCACGAGGTGTGATGGCGCCTCCTTCTTTGAAACCAGCTTCTGGAACTGGCTCTGAAACTGACTCTGCAATTGGCTCGGGTAGGGCAAGGGAAAGGGGGAGGAGAATGAGGAGTGGTGTAAGCTTGAACTGCATGATGAAGCTTTGATATTTGAATAGTCTCAGGTAAGTCTGTTATATTTTGTCAGATTGGTTCTCGAAAAACAGGCTCTGTTGTAAAAAGGGACGCTTATATAGATAGGTATTAAGCCTTTGTTCAGCGGCGCTAGATACTCCGAGGAGATAATCGTCTCGAAGAATCGTGGCCAGCGCACGAAAGCCAACCGTCGCAGCATCTGCCTATTAAAAGGTGTATTTTACCTGTCGACGGCAAGTTCTGCCGCGTTCTTAATATCCTGTAGCTGAGCCGGCTGATCAAAACTCCGCAACTTTGAGCATAAAGAAACAGGCCTATCACCTGCATGCGGATCCTTTTTTCTTCTCTTGAGGCTTTTGAAATTTTGGGGCCCCGCTCTCTCCCTTTTCGATGACGGAAAAAAAGTTTCGAGCCGTCTTGGCTCCTTGATATTGTAGTGCAAGATTCAAACGAGATTCTTCACCACTAGAAAGGCTGGCGCTCTCGTACCGGATTATATATTTGATAATACGGTTCTTTCAGTGACAAGCTTCCGCTTATAATTGGATAATGAATGTCTGCTTCAACTACGATGACTATCGAGTTATCGAGTACGCAATTATCACGTAGGAGAGATTTCGCGACTCTCTGCTATGAGAGTTTGTGAGTCAAAGCTCCGCATGTTAGCACAAATTCCCAAGATCTAGGGTTGATCACTTCTCACATTTTTAAAAAATTTCCAGCTGATTCAAGCCCAGCTATATGTCTAGTGGCAACGACTGACAGATAAATGAGGTTGGAAATGTATGAGACTGACGTCGAAGTTGCGACTAAAAGATGTAAGATCTGTCCTAATTTAGTCCGACATGGCGTAAGAGGCTACAGGTACGTATTTTTTCTAGGCACCAACATATGTTCTTTGTGTAACATTATGCAGAACTGAAATAGAAACGGGAAATTTTGTTAAGCCTTCTTACTTCTCGCTGTTACTCCACCCTCAGAATCTGGGATTGTTCGTATGGAAGGATCGTCAAACGAGCCGCGAAAGCCTACTGCGCAATGGTGACACACAATCAATCACGATACTTCTCGAGGGAGGAGGCGCTTCTATATCTTGGCTCTGCATTCCGACCGTTCAATCTTGACGTTATGATAAGTGCGGGGTAGAGGGGATTGTACGTTGCGGTATGCAAGGGCGGGTCGTCACTGCGGCTAGAGGAGGAGGAACTCAGTCTGTCAAGTAGATATATCCAAATGACATGAGAAGTTAAGATCGACGATTTGCGGCTGCAAATGATTTACATAATAGTGGCGGGTCTGCTAAATGCAAAGGCCGTCCATACTGAATATATGTTGCAGCAGCCTTCAATATATTGTGGCTGAAATCACTTGTTTAGTGTTTTTCACTCAATGCATACAACTCGAATCTAACGAATCGCTTATACACTAAAGAACCAGTGTTTAATCTAAGAAGGCGGGGTTGGAAACAGGAAATTTCATGAAATCATCTAACATTCGCTCCGACTAATCTTCTTCTCAAAGTGAGACACACAATAACTCGACAAGTGGCTCGAAGCATCGTGTTGCTTTATCGATAATAAAGGGCTATAAAGATTATTAACAGGAATAGGAAGGCTGCGGATTTTCTCCGGATTGGACTACTGATTTGACTCTGCTTTACATAATTGATGGCTTTCTCAGAACTATATGCATCTGATTGGCTATCCTTGGGTATTATAGTCAATCACTCCAAAGGGAATGCTTCCAGACAATTGACTAGACCTGGAATGATGTGCATTCCTTCTCTATCCTTGCAGTGTGCTCTAAAAGCACAAACCTCTCCTCTTCAAGTTTTCGGAGTAGCAGATATTATTATTTAGTTGCAGAATCTCGTAGTACACAGGTAAGTGAGTATGTATCCTTGACCCTAGCGAGACTTTCTCCTTTTTTGGATCTTTTGTACGATCACTGGTGAGGTATCAAGATAAATACGGCTTGGGGTGAAGATCAGGAGCGAGAAGGCCATTTATCAGATGGTGGGATTGCGAGAGAGCTTACTGAAGAAGAGGAAGTTACGGAGGAAGACATAGACAACAAGGAGGAGAGAAGACTATCAGCTGAAAACAGGAAACTCGTCATCTCTAGCGCAAATTATTTTACTTGAGAATCTATTTTTAGAGAGGGACTGGGCTCTGTTTTATATATAACGTATATCAGAATCGCCGTTTTCACTAACCACTGCGAGAGAGGGTGTCGTGCCGAACTTATGTTTTGTTCAACATAATTACACAACAGCCTAGAATATATTCTGTGAAAATCAATTGATGAGCACATACGACCATAGACTGAAGAGAATTGGGCATCCCGTCCGCTCTGCCATACACAAGCTTCAGATCGGTGGATTAGTAGTTGGGTGGGTGACCACCAGCGAATCCCCACTGTTGTATGTCTTTTTGAATTTTTTGGGCCTTCGATGATCGCAAAAGCATTTGTGAAATCATGCTTTGCCATATCTCCAACTACGGGCTGAGTGAGATGGGTGGTTATTGGCTTGCTCATGAACTTGCTCACAAAGCTCTGCATGGATATTTTCTTTGCGTTACGATGAGTAATTAGGAGGATTGCTCTATCTTCGAAGTCCGGATACTTGCTCTCAAGCCGAATCAATGACGATCCAAGCAGAAAGCATCGTGTGCTTCATACAGAGAACCTGCATCTTTCTAATCTGATTGGATAAGAACTGTCTGTTGAAAAATTCATGCAAATTCGAAGAGACAATCCACATCACTTAGTGCGGTGAAGTCGTGTCATCAATTTTGATAGTCGACATGCGTGGCCGCACGCCAATGCAGCTTGGCGGGGATAATCGTGAGCGGTTGTGTCACCAACGAACCGAGTGGGGAAATATGCATGACCGATGGATACACGTCTACCAACCGAGATCCTCAAATCAACCTGGGGCTACATTTGCGAGACTCTACCTGGTTTTGTTTCAAATACTATGCAAGGCAACTTGTTTGCTGGAAAATCGATAAGGAGAGGAGTTCGTACTTGACAACACTACGGACGCTAAAATCTACCGAGTGTTCAGCTTGTAGCCTTGTGCGCTCTGAATAACTTGGGGAGTCTGAACTTTTCTGTCGTAGTTCGATGGTCTTCCTGGTTCGTGAATCGTTATTAATTGTGACAATCAAAACGGCCATTGGGCCAAGTATTCCATGTAGGTCAAAATGTTATCGGAACAATTGGGCTGGAGAGCAGGTGCCTCAAAATACACCGTTATATGAAGTCTTTCTTTCCCCCGATGTTTTCTCGGGTTTGTTATCGTTGTCATTCTCCCTTCTAATTTCAATAATCACGTCTTTTTTCTTTTCTCATTTTCTGATTTGGCCGTATTCATCATGAAGATGATAGACCTTCAAACATCAGCCTCTACGGCTTCAACCCCTCGCAGGACGAGGGATGTAAAAGTAGACAGAAATGGCATTACCTGTTACGATGAAGAAATCACTAGGATCGTTGACTACACTTACGACTATGAGATTACCTCCCCTCTAGCTTGGACCCGTGCAACTTCAGCTTTACTTGATGCTATTGGAGCTGGTCTCGAAAGCATTGCCACAAGTACCGAACTCTCTCAATTGGTTGGACCTACCTTCCCTTCTCCAGATACCATTCCGAATGGATTTAAGCTCCCCGGAACAAATTACCAGCTTGATATAGCGAAGGGTGCTTTTGATATGGGAGCTATGATTAGGTACCTGAATCGTAATGATGCCTTCTTAGGCGCTGAGTGGACGCATCCCTCTGGTATGATAACCGACACCCCTTTCCTCATCGATAAAATAGATTATTGACAATATTCCATAGACAATCTCGGAGCTATCTTGTCAACAGCCGATGTTCTCTCGCGCGTAGCCACTTCCAAAGACGATCAAGATTCCATCCTCACCATGCGTCATGTCCTCATCGCCCTAATCAAGGCCTACGAAATTCAGGGCTGTTTTCAAGG